TGACTGCCTTATAATCAATGCGAAATTTTCATGTATGGTATGAGTGTGTCTCTCAGAATGATTTAATTATGCTATATCGATTACAAATTGGGTTAGAGTATATGTTTAGCATTTTCCTCTTTACTCTTACCCTACTTTCGATTTATTTTTCAGGCGCTGATTAAAATCAAACTGATATTTTATTGAACTTTCTTAGTTATTTTATGAAATATTAGCATCTCTTATATTTTTTTGCCGCACAAGAAGCCGTCTTTAAGATTATGGAATCGGCAGATCTATCCACTCGTACAACCCACAAAATATTGCTAACATGCTACCTTGCGTTTAAGTATGTTGATATTGCAAATTGTTAATCCAATGATTTTTTATTCCGTTAAAGAGTAATTATTCAAAAATGCATATATATTTACATAATATACTCGCGATTTTATATTAAATGCCAAGATCTGCACCAATTTCATTCAACGCTTAGCCATATTATATTTAAGAAAACATGTCTACTTAATTTCTTTAAATGCACACATTGACCAAGGTTTAAGACGATTTTATACAGATAACTCACACACTGACCAACATTTTCGGCATACAAAGAAACGTCATAAATATTATATAGAAGCTGATATACCTACACGATTTAGAGCCAAGAGACAATTTAAAATTCTTCTGCTAGTTACAAAAGCCTTTGAAAAGTATTGACGCGCTTTTATTCATATTTTGAATCCCGCTATACTATTACCAGTGAAAGACGCTACTTTAGGTTCATTGAGATACCTCACTATTTGGCCAGACTAGAAGATCGAAAAGCTGTGTATGAAGTGTATGGGGGTAGGGTATGGGTTGACCAAATGTTGCCCTTTTTTGACACAAGAACGCGTTATTATTAGAAAATGTTTATTTTTGAATTTAAATAATATACACTCACATATTGACCGATACTTTTGTTAAAAAGTCGACCATAGGCACTATGAACCATATATTCGGCAGCTTTATTTGTGGCAGGTTTTATTCCAAAATCTTCATTGGTGCTTGATTTATACACTGCATAGTGCAAGAATCCGATGGAATTAGAAAATTAGTTCCTGAAATAGAGGATTCATATTAAGCTAAGCAGTACCGCGCCCATTGTCCAATTTTTGCACCGATTCTTTTAAAGCCTTTAAGCGTAAGAATGCTCGCAAAATCTAATGCTTCTGCCGTATTTGTTTAATGAGCTACTTTTAGTAGTTTTCAACATGAACGTTATATGAGCTTGGTTCGATATGTACACCTATTTGAGGTCCGAGCCACGCTCACTTCTTAAAAATGTTCAAATCGCAAATATTCTCTTCTACTGCGCTCCTCTGTTGACCATTTGGTATCTTAAGTTTGAGCTTAGTTATGGTACTTTATAATTTTTTCCATTAACAGGTGAAACACTTTAAGGTTGAACAAAATTGTTATTCTCTGTTACAACATATAACGATAATATAAAAATACTATGCAACATTTTTCATAAAATAGTTTGCTATCAGATATAAATATATGCGGTTTTTCAGGGGTATGTCCGCTGTAAAATTTTCAAAAAATCGTTTTTTGATATTTTGTTTAAACTATGCTTTATAGTCATAAAAATAAGTTTCAAGTTAATTTGTAGCGAGGAAAATTTTTCTTATGACTTTAAGCGTATATAGGAAGCCTACTTCAACATTTTTTTTTATTAAGAAATAATTGGGTAAAAATTTAATTTATCTGTTCAAATGCCAATCATTTTTAAAGGAATCAATATATTCAATTTTCCCTACGTACTGCTATGTGTATTCTCATGTAGATTAACGACGCTTTATAATTGTCTCGTCGCGGAGGGCTTCTAAATAAAACGATGAAAGACAGAAAGCACGATCTGTACATGTAGTATAGTCAACAATATTACAAAAAAAATAATAACTTTTCATCAGCTTGAAGTCCAAAGTTAATGAATCTGCACATACTTTCATACGCACTACAATGGCCATTCCCCTTAACTCTACTTGATTCCCTGATGATTATTATACCTACTTCTGTGACTTTTCTTATCTTTATTCATAAATGTGGTTATAATTCATAGACTTTAGCTGTTTTTCAGATGTGTATAATTTTTCAGAAGGAATATTTAAAACTGCGACTGTATATAGTTCACATGCAAAGAGTATTATTACTCTCTGCTTTCTGAGGATGGAGCTAATAGTACTGTCAATTATTAGCGTTACAAATAAATAACTTTTCATTGCTTATGCCAAATTAAAGTGCTCAGGATATTCATCTCTATCTATTCACTTTAGAAATGAAAAAAATCGGTTTTTTGTTTGGTAATTTTTCTCAAGAAATTTATAAAATTAAATGATAATTACGTAAGAATATTTGTTTTCCTTACTTAAATTTTATATAATTTTATATGTGTATGCTTACCACTAGCAATGCTGGCAACAGCATTTAAAATATATCAACGATGAGGATATTCCATTTATGAAGGCTATGATTAACACTTTTCAATTAGTTTCCTTTATTGAAGAGTTTACCTTTCATGTTTTTGATAATAATTTATTGAATTGAAAATTAATGGTCTATTACCGCTATTCGTGAAAACTTTTTTATCTGATAATTTGCGAATGATTTCAAGTTTCATTAAGAATATAAAAAACAAAATAAAAAGACTGGTTAAATATCAGCTCAGTCTTAAGTCTAAGTACTTATAAGGCAACAAGAATTACTGCCTCAATTTTATATACCACAACGAAAGCTAGTATGTTATTGCATGGCTTAACCTAAAAATATGCTACAGCTGTTGAAAGTTATTGTGAAATAGTCCATTATGACAACATCACCAAAAAAATGAGTAAAATGAAAGTGACAACAACAAGGTTTAAACTGCCACCAAATCTGCATTTGAGTCCCTTTAAAGCTGATCAAATATTTCAAACAATTTCACAACAATAACTAGAATATGAGTAAGCATCCGCTCGTTTATCTAAGTAAATATGCGAAAAAATAAATAAAGAGTGTGGAGAAATCAAGGCGGCAGAAAGCAAACGAAGCAGAAGAGTTAAGACATATCAGCCGGAAAGTAAGCATGCCTATTTAGTAGTATTTATATAACAAAAAATTGCTGGAGTTACGAAAAACTCAACGACAATCGGTATTTGCAGTATATAGCTATCGCCAACAGCTGTCGTTGTCACCGCCTTCACCTCCCGCTGGAAGCACGAGAGTGTAAAAATATTTTGTTACTCAGAGAAAAAGAGATTTATAAAAACAGAAATAAGCATGCGACATGACAGCGGATATGTGCGAACGTATTTACATTACTAAGCTGGCACACACGCGCACTTACACATGCACATATGCTCAAACGCGTGGATAAGTGCACTTGTGCGGCAAATGTCAAAAAATGATTTTCGTCCTGGCAAGTGTCGACAAAGGAGCAATTCAAGTTTGAATTGGCATTGAATTCGTGCAGACATCTATGCATATAAGTATTTAGATATTTGGATTTGAAGAAAGTCCCCCTCTGCACATTCTCACCTCATGTCTAAGAGTTTGTTCTTTTACATATATTTAGAAAGCATAGGAAAATGTATGAACTGTGTAAATATGTGACGCATGTCCTTACGTATATTTGCCAGTATTTGTATGTCACTTAGCAAACAAATGTCGTTTATAAAATGAACAATTGAATTTGGCGAAATGACACAACCTTTGTAATGTTTACATTTTTTCATATCGCTGCATGCGTCTAATAGAATATTCAAGTTTTTAGACATGTGTGTACTTAAAGAGTGGGGGTGCGTTTGATGTCTTATTTGTTACAGCTTCTTGTCACATATTTTTGTTTTAGATTGAGTGACATATATTTCAACTTAGCTTTTTATTTTTGTTAATTTTTAAGACACTTTTTTGGGAGCACATGGAAGTAGAAACGATTACAGAATCAGTCTACAAAGTTAGCTACTATCGAGTATACCTAAATCAGTTAGTGTGCTAGGTAAGTAGAGTGAGTGTCTAACGAAGCAATTGGCGTTTAGGAGGGCCATTGAGAAACCAAAACCTCTGAGATACAGTCAAGAAACACTCGACCGATAGTTGCGATTCTTTCCCTCTACAAAGCCTTGATTCGCATAGAAGATGTTCTATAGTCACTAGATCTAGATCTAACAACATTTTATTCAGTTAGTGTGCTAATTATAGTTTTTGTATAGTAGACTTAATTTATTAGCTTTTAGCGATTTTTAATAAATCTGCTAAATAGAAATTTAAGTTTAGTGTCAGTGTCAGGTGATATGCTACATTGAATTAATATGCCGTGTAGAACATAGTTATCAGCTGGAGATCGCGAACTATCTTGGGTTTGAGAGAATGTGGCATCATCTGGAGTATCCGGCATTGAAATAGTAGGATAGCCACTTTTCTGAAAATCCGTAGTCATACCGTTAAACTGTGCAGAGTGTTACGATGAAGCGGTAAACGTGTTAAAAAATGTCTAGAAAATGTCTCGTGTGGAATTTCAGCATGTAAATGATATGGTTTAATGTGTCATAAAAAAATCAAGTTTGGACTTATTTGAAATTTAATTTAGATGACGCTAATGGTTGCCTGATATATTGGTGCAATTTAAGGTTATCATGGCGTCGGATCGCTCTTCGTTTGGTAAGCATTTGATGTGATGAAGTGTTGCTGATTAGCTAGATTCCAATTAATAATATTAATATTACTGAGTAGTTGGTGGCGAGTATATAGTTTTTGGAAACATTTTATGTAGTTAAGTTTTTAATTTCTTTAAATAGTTTGTGAATTAGATTTCGAAATGAAAAACTTTATTATACATACGAGTGTTTAGTTGATCAAACTGTTAAGTATTATTTTTAGTGGACACCACTCATAGTCATAATTAACAAAAAAATGTACCTCCATCTAATATTTTACAAAACCTCTACACAAATCCGTCCATCGTGTTACATTACAAATACATAATAATAATATAACAATACCTCTGCTGGGAATGTATAGCCGTCCACGCTATGCTCTGAGCCGAACTGATCATGCAATCCATAATGTATATGAATTTCGTGAAATCGATATCTATACGATAACGGTCCGCCAGATATGTTAACTGGCGTTTGCATGCCATCATAGTTCGCAACCGTCTCGTTGCCAGCGGTGAAAATGACACTGTGACCAGTATTGCTAATTAGACCGCTTATCTAGTAAACAAAAATTAAACCCAAAAAAAAACACAAAGATATCAGTATCTTCCTTAACTTATTTTCCGAAAATAATTTTCTCATACTTACTCTATGTTTATCGATATGCAAAGGTCTTAGATTGGGATCGAATAATAAGCGCTGTGGTTCAAGGTTCACCGGAGATTGTCGACGCCCTTTATTACAAAGTGACCACTCTGGGTTGATAAGACCCCAAAAGGCAGGACCTGAAATTAAGTGGAGAGAAATAGAGTAAGGCATAAAGAGATAATTAGCGAAAAAAATTAATTTTTTCATAAAGGTTATTTTGATGTTTAATGATTGTGACTTATAAGTAGTTTTTAGATTTTATTACAGTTTTAGTGGAATACGAGTATTTTATTCTGTATAAACTTGTAATATGTAAATACTTTATTTGATTCTGATTCTGCTGTCTGGTCTTGCAGCTCTTTGTTATAAATAGTTTGGGATAAATTATTATTCCAGCTCGGTGTTCCAAAAATGTAGTATTTAATAAAATTAAAAAAAAAATTAAAAACTTATTTTAGTTAATATTTTTGCTTTATTATATTGGCATTGAGAACTTTACCGCTCTTTGAAACTAATGTCTTCCTCACTGTCAGCTAACGGACAGAATATTGGCATATATAAATATTATATGAAGTATATACTTTAGAAGTATTGGCATATACGAAAATCGAAAATATTCTAATTTTGTGGATTTATGTAAATGATCAGATTAAAGACATAAACTGTCAGTTCAAATTAAAAATTATCAGCATATTAAAATTTCTAAAAGTTATAGCTACTCAACCATGTATTGTACATGGCATCCACTATATTAAGTTATAATTGCTCATACGCTATGTATGTACATTAGGGTGGAGCGAACAAAAATCTTTTTTTTTGCTTAGTCTGAGGGAAAAATTTGTAGATTATAAAAAAAGAACATTTTTGGACAAAAACAAAAAATTTTTACATCTAGAGTCGGTAAATTTACGAGTTAAAATTTTTCTTTCGTAAAAATTTTTTGATAAGTGTTCTAGAAGCTGTGGAGAGTCTTCTTTCTTCTCTCTTTCCTTCTAAAAAAAAGTCTTTAACGACAACATGCTTTCCTCAATCGTTAAAATAAATTTTGAGTCCAAAACCGTCACATTCGGTAAATTTTATATAAATGTAAAGAGTTCAAACCAAAAATAATTTTTCTTGTCCAAAAAAAATTTTAACTCGAAATTTACTTTAACACTGAGTGGGCCGCCTGTAGATGTTAAATTTTTTTGTTTTATAATCCACAGATTTTACCCTCAGGCTAATTTTTTTTTGTTCCACCCTTATGTACATCCAATCTATTAGAATAAAGTTACTCATACGCCATGAATATCCACTATATTAAGTTATAATTACTCATACGCCCTGTACTTCATGCAGATGTAGAAGACTTTAATATTTTATTAATACCAGTAACGCTCTTATTACAAATATATAAAGTTTTCAAAAGCAGTATTTTATTATGAAGCTTTTTAAATTGAAAATAAAATGGTTCACTGAAAAGGGTAAATAATGATTTAATAGTAAAGAAATGATTGTGTAAGTAACTACAACTTTTGAATGTTTCAGGCAATAATAAAACTAAGTTGTGCATGTAAATAAAGGTAACAATGAAGAATAACAAGAAACAAATAAAGTTGAAGTAAACGGAAACTACCCATTCGAAAAGAAGCAACCGGTTTGCTTGTGCAAACTGAAAGCAAAAAAATAAAATAAAAATAGAAATAGAAATAAGTAAATAAATAAAAGTTAAAAAGTTTCAATAAACTAAAAAATCTTGGAAAGAAAGAATTGGTTGGTGTAAAGGGACCAGATGATGAAACTAAAGTTAATATTAGAATGAATTCATGAAATATATTTTTAAATACAATACATAAATAATTTTTGGAAATATTGTATAAAAATGTATTATGAGAGTACAATGGAAAGAAAAATTTAGGAAAACGTTGATTTGTGAAGCAGGACCTACATATTAAGAAAAATCTTTTGCATACAATTTTGGTTTGTGTATACGTGACGACACCTTTTGAAATTCCAATTTTCTTGAGTTCACAAAAAATTGGTAATTTCAGCTAAACTAGAGGGTTTGTGATAGAAATATCTTAGATTAAACTGTTATTGCAAAACTCGAGAAAAAATAATTTTTTGACTGAAATAATAGACACGTTAGTGGAAAACATTTCCGTAAAGTGAACCGTGGAAGGTGAATTTTGTTCAAATATTTGCTAAATTGGACATTATAGAGAGATGGTCAGATAAAAAGTTAGCGTAGCATACTAAAAACGAAAATTTTGAAAAAACCACGATTTCTTTCTCAACATAGTCTCGCCTTAGCGAAATACAATTGCCCCTGCGAGACTCCAACTTCTCCTCCGTGGCGGCGATAAGCAATAATTGTGGTCGCTGCGGCTATGGCGAATATTTCAGCCGTTGTGTTATGGGGAGATTTTTTCTGCAATTCGATGTTAAATCGTTACAATAATTCAGCATAGTATAGCTCTGTGAAAGTTGTGCCTTTCTCCAGGTAGTCGAAGTCTGATCATGGTGAATCTCATCTTTCCGCTAGACCGATATGACAGTCTGCGCCTTTTTCAGAACAGGTTCGCTGGATGACGCCCACTCTGTCAACATGATAACGATGATGTTTGCCACCATAAAAGTCGTTCAAGTGCTCTTTGATTTCAATACGAGATTTCTCTTCTAAATACAAGGGTCGAGTCACCGATCGATGTTGCTCTTTTTCCATTTTTTTTTCAATTAGCACCATAAGGTGGTGAATTGTTATTGGGCCACCGCCGTAGATATGTTACAACTAAATATTAAATATTTAATATACTAAAATGCTAAATTATTGCATATTTAATTTCTATTCACCCTCATATATTACATAGGGATGCACAAGTGTAGATACACAAACTAGCACCAACTAATCGCGCACAAATTCTCACAAATTTATCGCAGTTCAACTACAACTGCAACTGTTAACTAGGATTGAGCCGTGGGCACCAGTACCTACGCTCACACATACCGGGATCTGACAGTTTTATCAGCTTACCTCCATAACCACACACACATGCAGAATTTCGCATACATTCCCACCAAATCCAAGGCACAATTATTGCTTTATTTTGCACATTACCAAATACAAGCCAGAAGATTTATGAACCAAATTTGTTGCCACCTCCAATCAGAAGACCAGAAATGAGTGAAGAGCAAAAGCGAGAATATTTCGTGTACACCCCTTTCGCAGCGCTTATTGCGACTGAAGTGCCTGCAGTTATGACAAATAAACTACAATCGCCGAAATAACCTAACGTTCGTTTTGTTGCTGTACACCCTTCCGATTGTGGGAGTATGGATTACACTAGTATCTGCATACTTATAGAACCCTAACCCTAACTTTTGTGTTCAGCCCGTAAATGTGGATGTAAGGGGATAACGGTTGTAGGTGTTGCTATAACTAGGGATATGCATATGTAAGTAAACGCAACATGTTCCAGGGATGAATCAGTTGGGGACGCGGTAAAATTTATGAGTTCAACACAAGACTTAGAAACGTAAGTAATACAAATATACTGTGCAACTCTTTAATATTTGCATGTGTCAAAATATGTGTTCGAAATTTACCGATCTATATGTATGTACATGTGAGTATCATCGTTCCTGAGATAACGCAATTGGTAGGGATGCTGCCAAACTACAGTTTCTCGCCTGTTGCCAACGAAATACATAAACAAATGTTGAAACATAAAGGTACACATTCATATTCAAGTCAAGCTAGATGCTCCAACGCCTTCTAACTGAGAATCAGCGAAAACCACACATTGAATATCCAAAGGCCAACCAGTTCATTTCCGTTACAAAATGAAGCGATGGTGGTCAGTAAATTGAGAAATATGAAAAATAAACAAGAGCTGCATCAACAATAACAACATATACACAAGCATGTATGCATACACTTACATACATATGGTATACAAAAAAATAACTGTACACTTACATGTGTATAAGATGAAAAGTATTGAAGCAAGGAATACGCTTGACCAACTTGCGGCAATGCGGCTGTGTAGTGTACATATGCTGGATGGCATCGGGAAAAAGCCACAGGGACATAAACAAGGTGAATGAAACGAACATGCGGGCTGCACCAGCACTAGTGGTCAGTGGTTGCTGAATAAGTCAAGCCGAGCGCGCGAAGTTTTGCGGTCTATGAAGTGATGGCAATTTTTTCTCGGCATTCTGCACTTTTTCTGTTCATATATTTTTTTTGTTTCATGCAAAAAATGGACGGTCGCTTCTAAAATAGTGGAAAACTTGCTCTAAACTTAAGTGCATTATCCAGTTGTTTATTTCGCGCCACAAACACGTGTTACATGTAGGAATCGCTTCTGTATTGTATATTAGTTCAAAACCATGCATGTTCTCATTGTAGTTACTTTGAACAAATTCGTACAGAATTATGGCATATTCATCTGAACTAGGACTAAAACTTAGTTTTCAAAGCACAATTTCTTTATACGTTCTATCAAAATATGAGCCCATATGGTTATTATGTTTTGTTATCAGCAGCATTTTTCCCCTCAACAAATATTGTTTCATTAATGCACAAAAACTAAACTTCCCTTTCAGCCCTGTTTTTCAGAACACAAAATGCATCATTCAAAGCGCTATATCCTAGTAACCAATTTTACAATAAACAATTAAGATTATTTAATACAAATTAATTCAATTATACTAGCTTCATTACATATAAATAACACTAACTTCTTTTTGTGTTATTGAATGAGTATCTATCCTGTTGAACTACTTGAAATACCGGTTTATGAGATAACAGCTTGGTATATTTAAAATGTATCCACCTTTGTAACTTTGTAAGTTTAACTGAGATATTTGGAGATAGGTATAAAAAACGTTGGTTGGACTGCTCCATTGCTTATATCACAGTTAAGTAATATAATATCCTGTGGAACCTTTGAACATAGATTTTCAAATTAATTAGTTAGAGAAATTATGTTGCACAGGTGACTTTATTTACTTAGCTTTGGGGCACAAAAACAAGTAGCTTGGTTTAATGCCAGAACACAAGATTCCGTAGATTATACTAGCAAATTGCTTTGAGTTTCTTTTATTCTATCAACTGTATTTATGCCCTTTACTTTTCTTAAAATATAAAAAAACC